TATTTATTGATATTATTTAAAAATAATAATTATTATATAAAATTAGCAAATGATAATATTAACCTTTTCATTTAAAAAATAAATTAAAACAAACAAAATTCATTGATTGGTTGAGAGGGAGGTTGCATGGGTTGTACAAATAGGGAGGGTTGTAAAAGAAATATACCCTATATATGTATGTATATATAACACGGTTGACGGACCGACGGGTATATATACATATAACACATACAACATCATGTAAATATATGTATATAACACAGGCCGACGGTTATATACTTATACCACATGCACATGTGTACATGTAATACACATCATGGTTAGCAACCAAAACACACACACACACACACATATATATATATATATATACACACACACACTAATAACACATATACATGTATACATACGACACTGCACATAAAATATGTACATATAACACATAAAATATGAGAAAATAAGAAAAAGTGGGATAATCCCCCGTTGATCCCTCACATATCAGCGATGGATCAACGAGGGAATTATTTTTTTGGCCAATTACCTTGCAGATCCTTCGCTGATCTGCGAGTGATCAACAAGGGAAATTGTTTTTGGGCAATTCCCTTGCCGATCAACGAAGGTTAGTGAGGGAATTGGGTTTTAGACATTACCTAGCTGATCCCTCGTTGATCAGCGAGGGAACTGGTTTTTGTCCTTTCCGTCGCTAATCCCTATCTAATCAGTGAGGGATCAACGCTGATCCCTAGCTGATCAGTGAGGGATCAACGCTGATCCCTAGCTGATCAGTGAGNATCAGTGAGGGATCAACGCTGATCCCTAGCTGATCAGTGAGGGATCAACGCTGATCCCTAGCTGATCAGTGAGAGATCAACGAGTGAATCGGTTTTTGGATATTCGAGGGATCAACGAGGGAATTGGTTTGTTCTTTCCCTCACTGATTAGCAAAGAATTTTTTCCGTCTTTGATACCTTGTTTTCTAGTAGTGATATACTTGGATTTTAAGATGTTTTAAAAAGCTGAGGCAAATTAGTTAGATGTTTTAAAGTAAATATATAACAAGTTGATTTAATAGAACTCATTTTTGAGGGAGAACACAAACTTAACTATCTCCAACTTTAACTGGTTTTTAAATCTCACCATTAATTTGATTCTTGTTATTGATTGTTAAGCCCATATTTGACAATTACACAGTAACCAGTTCCTTTTTTTTTAGTTTATTAATTTAGTTTTTCCAACGACCTCATATTTACCCGTTAATTTGCCAAACACGATCTAGACATTAAGAAGTGATCACTTTGAGAATGTGCATCCTACAAGAGATCGAAGATTATCGGTTATTAAAATCGTCAAGGGGTTAGAAATAGAAATGCTTCAAAACATGAGGGATGATATGTGTAGTTTCATGTAACACAAAATTAAAAGTCAATGGTTTGACAAAAAAATGAGTTTATAGAAGTATCCAGTGGCAGCAATTGCTTGAACGCGAAGGCAGGTCTCGTTGGAAGAATGGTCGGCACCACCTCTTGCTCCCTCCCCGCATTATTTGGACCTTATGACCCTCCCTCAATTTTTCCAATAATTTTTACTTATTTTAATTAAAGTAAATTATTAATAAAATATTACAAAATATATAAATATAATCCCCCATGAAAGCAAAACCAAAAGCTCCATTTATTTGTAAATACCAAATCCAACCCCTCATAGTACTCGATCTCCATGCTCTCTCCTCCATCCTCCGCCCTCCACCCGCTATGGTTGCCGGAACACGATCACCCACAACTGTAATCATTCTTGTATCTCTCTTCCTCCTCCTCCTCCTCTTATGGTGCACCACCACACAACCACCAACTGCAATCGCCATTCGTGTTATAAACAACCACCAAGAGGATCAACATTATTATCAACCGTTATCGACTCACCGCGTACTGATCAGCAACAGGAAGGTGTTATCACATCCCACGAAATTCGACTTCACACCATTCATTCATGGGCATCACCACCACCACCACCACCGTCACCGCCACCACCAACACCGGCTGGCGGCAGCAGGGTCCAAGATCGACCCACGATACGGTGTTGAGATGCGGCTTGTCCCGACGGGTCCAAACCCTTTGCACCATTAAGGTTTCCTTGACCTTACTTGATATATGTAATTGTAGTATATGTTGCTTATTCAGCAAAACAAAAAGAGGTAAAAAAATATAACGGAATTTATTCATAAATACATATTTTTTTTTTAATTTTCTTATCATCATTCACTTTCTATTATTGAGACTTCAGTGGTTAATACTTATAACACTACTGGTTACTTGTTCCAATTCTAATTATGACTTGCATGTCTCTACGTGTCTGAATATTGTATTATATATTATTATCATTCACATATGAATACACTAACAGTAAACAAGTGCCATGGATCAACGATCGATGGTCAAATTGGTGTTTCACCGACCCTTTAATCCCAGTTATACATTCAAAGATTCACCACTAACAAATGAATCCTATATTTTCTTAAAAAAGAAAAACAAATAATTAAAAAATATTATTTTTTATTATATTTAATATTAATTAAATAAAAGAATATTGGAAATAGATGAAGGTGATCATGGTTATTAGTAGCACTAAAATATATGAATGATCCATAGATTCAGGGACGACGGAGGAGTGAATGTGACGGCACGGCACCTCCACGTTTTCGTTAAAAAAACCATATAAAAATAATTAATTACTTGTTTAATAAATCTATTTCAAAACATGCATATTTGTTTAATAAATCATATTAATACAATAACAATAACTTCGTTTTCGTTAATATTTTCAAGAATCGCATTAATTTATCGTTTAACAAAATAAGAATTAAATCAAAATAACGATTTTTATGTAACATAAGATATAAAGGGTTGACTTTTGGATTTCTTAGATTGGTTCATTTTATTACTGAAATTGAATTTGGGAATTATCATGGGGATTTGTGTTATTATATGATAAAAATGCATACAAAAGCTAATGAATATTCTAATATATACCAAACAGCTAGCATTGGTATAAGAAAGACTGGTCCATTAAGCTGTACATTTTGCTGAACATGAACTTAAAAGATGGCATACATACAGCTACTATACATACCCATATCAAAACGTCTGAATCAAATTAATGTGTACTGATTACATGTATCCAATACCAAGATTTTGTGATTATAACCAAACCAAAATGCTTAATTGTTTAATGAATGAGATGTAAAATGGGAAATGGGAAATGGGGTGGGTGGATAAGTGGGGTATAAAGTATTATGGGTTTCATAAGTGGTATATTTTCAAGAGAGGTGTTGTAGATGGGAAGATGTTCTTTAGCCATCATTGACTTTAATTTCATAGCTAAAGGTGAGTGAGTGGGTAACACAAGCAAGTGGACATAAACCCCTTTCTACATTCTTATGATTTGCTTTTACTGTACCTTCTATTTATTACTCTACCACACACTTAACCCAACCCCATTTCAGACCATGATTCATGTTTTTAAATCTGTATCTTAGCTATCAAATCTTTTATTTAACAAAATAATGTTAAGGGACTTCTCCTTATAACCTATAGTTTTGATGGGAATTTGATTCAATGATTGTTAGGGGTTATTTTTGTCCACGATCCACAGTAGCACACAAGATATATATTCAACTAAAATGGAGTGACGGTTGACCGACCGACCCCATTAAGCTTTGTGGTCTAAATTGGAATTTATGATTCATTATTAGATATTAAGATATCAGGTATGTGTTATCTTGGTCTACATTCTGAATACAGATCGCTAGCTCGATCATAATCATACAATCATTAATATATGTTCTTGTACGAACAATTTTTATCGATATTATATTAAATGAAATCTAAATTTGAAAAAGGAATTTTTGTTGTTAGCCCTGATCAGTTTAGTCATCAATCATGATATAAAAAAGCTTGTAGCATCGATCAAAATCTTTTTATGTGACATGATGATACCAAAATTTGCCAGGATAATGTTCTTGAGCCTCGAGTTGGGGTACGTTGGACCACTTCAATAGACCTTGTATCGCTCATAGAAAAGATCTTTACAATTGCCTTGAGGGTGTGTTGGTAGAGAGAGTTCTCATGGTCAAGTTGCAAAGCATGAAAAAATTTGGTGCATTACTTGGTTCTATGAAAACTTTCAATGCCTATTTCATATACTTGGTACAATTGTGTAGCATACTTACAACTATTCTTAGAAACTAGTGGATAAGTTATTGTTGACTGACATATTAACTGTTGGTTCATAAGTTAGCTTGAAATAGTCATATTTGATACAAATAAATTAAATTAGCTGATAAATTATATGACACAATAAAATTAACAAAAGATACGGTTTTTTTGGCCATTTAGTATAAAGTATAAGAGGTATAATGGAAGATAAAAGAAAGTGAAAAAAAAACCTAAATCTTATTGAAATGTTACAGAAACAACTGTTTCAAAAAGCCAGCCTATAAGTTAATTTATTTGTTTACGAATATTCTTTTCCAGTAAGCTCAAAAAATGAGTTCGTTTAGAGTTGTCAAATATGATCTACATGTTGTACTAACGGACCCAGTTCTTTATAATTACGTAAAAATTTGTTTTCTACCATATATGACAACATCGTCTTCGATCTAGGTCTTAATCTCTACTGTACTCTATTTGCATGTTTCGTTTGACTTATGCGCGCGAATTGTTAGAGAACTAAAAGTAAGGAAAGAAAACTTACGTGGAATGTAGTTAGAATATTTTTCCATAAGATGTATGTGAAGTTTCACTCGTAATAGCAATTAATTAAATAACTAAGTAGCAATCTATTCAAAATGTGGTGCAAGCAAATACAAAACCAACACAAAACAAAGTAACTTAAGCACACAATTTTCTAGCGGCGAGCAAAAACTTGTTGCACACGTCGTTAAATAGATAACATGGATTAAGTTTGTAAACCTAACATATTTCAATACAAGGGTAAGTTGAGATACGAATCAAGATATCATTGTTATTTTGGAAAGAACAAAATCCACAAAATAACAATCTACTTTCATAATTTTCTTTATTATAGCATTGTATTTTCAGTTTTTCTTAATACTGTACTTTCAAATTATTTTTTATTAGGACATTGTACTTTGAAAAATTTACCCATTATAGCAATGGGTAACCTTTTTTATTTAAATTTACCCATTATACTAGGTTTCCATGCCACCTCATTGTCCACGTAGGCTGTCCACATGTAATATAATGATGTGACTTTCTTACTACATCATTGTACTTTCAAAATTGTTTTATTATAGTATCTATTAGTTCTTATCAAACACTGTATTTTTAATTTTAATATTTGTATATTTTACGTGTAATTTAATAAATATATTAAATGAATTAAAAAAAATTCTAAATTATTCATTAATATATCAATATCAATAAAACTAGTAGAACACAACTTATCTCGCTAACATTTTTAAAAAAATATGTGTTTTTTGAAAAAAAAGGAAAATAAGAATTGTTCTCTTTTACCAAAAAATATTATCTTTTAAAAAATATATTATATTTGATTTGTTCAAAAACTTTTTACTTGACGTATAAATATATTAAATTAATTAGACTTTTTTGAATTATTTATTAATATAACAATATTAAAAAATTGTAGATAACAATTTATTTCGTTAATATATTAAAGAGAACTTTAAAAGATATGTATTTATTTGAACAACATAAAATAAGAAAAGTTACTTTTTTTTCAAACAAAATATATCTCGAAAATAATGTTTCATATTTATTTAATAAATATTTTACTCTAAGAATATTTAATTTGAATGCAACTTAATAAGAAAAAAGTAAAAAAAAATTAAATATTTTTTAGATCATAGCAATGAAAAATGAAAATCATTAATAATAATTTAAAATATATTTTAATTTTAATTTTAGTTAAGTCATTAAAATGATATGACATCCACATCACCTCATTAAAGCCACACAAGCAAAAAAGTCAAAGGGTTCATCGTTTTAAAATGTAACAGGTTACCCATTGCTATTATGGGTAGATTTTTTAAAGTACAATGCCTTAATAAAAAATAATTTGAAAGTACATTGCTGTAATAAAGAAAAACAAAAGTAAAATATTATAATAAGAAATTTTATGAAAGTAGGTTGCTATTTCATGCATTTAACCCTTTTAGAAATAGTGATTTTACTTTTTTTTTATTTTTAATTCTGATGTCTTGGTTAATTAGTGTACTTTAACATATAGTGTTAAGTTATAAATATTAACAAAAAACAATGCATTCATTATAACTTTGCATGTGAGGTCAGTGGTACTGAAATGTAAATTAAATAAAAGACAATAAGTAGGCCAAAGGTGATAACCTGAAGCTGGTACAGATTTTCCTGATTTTACAACTCAATATATATTCCCTCTTACGTGAAGAAAACCTTCTAGCCATAATCATTCTACACGTACCTTGTTTCATTTTCCATTTTCCATTTTTATGGGACAATATACAATTCACTCAATCAATGAAATAAGAAAGGCACACCACTACGAATATTTCAATAACAATTGTACTGTTGCTGACTCATTTTTTGTCTGAGGAATTGGCAATCCTTGTTACCAACTATCAATGTTTTGTTGCTGACTTGGCATTTTGTCATAGAGCACGCTATGGCATTTACAATTACAACATTAATTTTGCCAAATAATTTCTCATTCACATGGACTTTGTTTAGGTGTAGGTGTGCCATAGTAAAACAAAACTCTACATAGAAGAACAAATAGACCCACAAACATGCTTTCAATTAAAGTTTGGACTTCAGACTGTCTTTGGATCCAAAAATAGACATTAAACTCAGATTTAACAGTGTTTACTTGTGCTTATTCACACAACTGTTGGCTTATTCAGTAAGATGGGTAGGGTGTGTGCTAATCGGGTTTTTGGTTATACAACTTCGGGATAATTTTTGAAAGGTATTGATAAGTGGTTAGATTTTAATTATTTATGTGCTTAATTGTGTAAATAAGTCCACCGTCTTAAGGTGTCATGCATGAGATATTTGTTATATCTCACAGAAGAATGTGAAAGTATGATTTTAAAACTATTAAACTCCACCGCCTATGAGTTAATTATGGTGGTATAAAAGTGATAGATAAGATTCATCTTATTTGTTTGTTTTTTGGAGAGAAAGAAAAGAAAGAAAACCTCACTGTTTGTTTTCTTGTGTGAAATCTTGCTAGATTCTATAAGAAGAAGAATTTCATTTTGTGGTTATATTTGAAAATTGCTACTGTGTGAATTTATCTTCAAATACATGAAAAAGGTGAGTTTATGTTATCAATTTTCTTTATTTGGTGTTTGAAACATGGAACCATATAGTTCTTATGTGTAAAGATGATAAAACAGATTCTTGAAAGATGTTTGAGCTTGATGATAAATCACTACTAGAAAATCATGTATCAGCGACGAACATCAGCGAGGGATTTTCAGCGAGGGATTTCCCAAACACTCAATCCCTCGCTGATCTGCGATGGATCAGCAAGTGAATTAGTTTTTAGACAATCCCTCGCGGATCCCTCGCAGATCAGCGAGGGAATCTGATTTTCATTATTTTTTTATTTTTTAACTAGAAATATAATTACTTATTAATTTTTAATTACTGATTATTAAATTTTCAATTATTTATTATAATATTACAAAAATTAATTAATAAAACCGAATAAAGATCATTTAGGCCAATAAAACCGAATAAAGTTTATTAAGGCCCGATAAACTTAAAATAGCCCGGTAAATTGATTAAGGTCCAATAAAACCGAACAAAGCTCAGTTAAATGGTTTAAGACCCAATAAAATCGAACATGACAACATACGATACCTACATATAAAAAAGTGTATATATAACACATAAAAAAAATAAAAATAAAAATAAAAAATAGGATAATTCCCTCGCTGATCAGCTAGGGATCAGCGAGGGAATTGGCAAAAATCAGTTTCCCTCGCTGATCAGTGAGGGATTAGCGAGGGATTTGGCAAAAATCAGATTCTCTCGCTGATCCCTCCGTGATCAGCGAGGAATCAGCGAGGGAATCTGATTTTCGTCATTTTTTTTATTTTTTAACCAGAAATTTAATTACTTATTAATTTTTAATTACTGATTATTAAATTTTCAATTATTTATTATTTATTATAATATTACAAAAATTAATTAATAAAACCGAATAAAGCTCATTTAGGCCAATAAAACCGAATAAAGTTTATTAAGGTCCGATAAACTTAAAATAGCCCGGTAAATTGATTAAGGTCCAATAAAACCGAACAAAGCTCACTTAAATGGTTTAAGACCCAATAAAATCGAACATGACTACATATGATACCTACATATAAAAATGTGTATATATCAGCGATGGATCAGCGAGGGATTTGGCAAAAATCAGATTCCCTCGCTGATCAGCGAGGGATTTTCCTATTTTTCCTATTTTCTCATTTTTATGTGTTATATGTACATATTATTATGTGTTGGTGTTCTATGTATACATGTATATGTGTTGTTTGTATATATATATATATATATATATATATATATATATATATTGTGGTCGCTAACCGTGATGTGTATTATATGTATGCATGTGTGTGTATATGTATATATATATGTTTACACGATGTTGTAATTGTTATATGTATACATATACTCGTCAGTCCGTGTTATATACATTTGTATTCACGATGTGTATAAATGTGTATACATATTCGGTTTTATTGGGCTTTAAGGGACTTTATTTGGTTTTATAGGCTTTAGTGGACTTTATTACGTTTTATTGGATCTTAAAGGACTTGATTCAGTTTTATTGGGTCTTAAGAGACTTTATTCGGTTTTATTGGGCATTAATGGGCTTGATTCGGTTTTTTTGGACCTTAATGAGCTCTATTCGATTTGTTGGGCCTTAATGGGATTTATTTGGTTTTATGGGCCTTAGTGGACTTTATTAGGTTTTATTAGGCCTTAAAGGACTTTATTCGGTTTTATTGGGCATTAATGGGCTTGATTCGGATTTATTGGGCCTTAATGAGCTCTATTCGATTTGTTGGGCCTTAATGAGATTTATTCGGTTTCATAATTTTATAATGTAATAATTAATAATTAATTAAATTTATAGTTATTAATTAAAAAATAGTAATTAAATAAATTAAATAATTATAAAAAAACCTTTTTAGCAACGGAATTTCCCTCGGAAATCCGTCGCTGATTTTCACATATATAAAGAACCCAATCCGTCGAGAGAGAGAGAGAGCGAGAGATCGAGCCAGCTCCCGTCGCCGACCACCACCGCCGGCGCCCGACCCCGTTGTCAACCACCATCGCCTTCCCGTCGCCGACCACCACTGTCGGCGCCCAACACCGTCGCCGACCGCCACAGCCACACCCGCCGACTGTTTCTGCCGACACCGTCACCTCCATCTCCATTTCCGACTGTTTCTCTCGACCACCACTGCCTTCCCGTCACCGCCGTCTCCATTTCCGACCACCACCGTCGTCTCCATTTCCGACCACCACTGCCGACAGGTACTTAGATTTGTTCTGTTTTAATGATTTTTTTCCTTGTTGGTAATGAGTGAATTTAAAACTGTTAATCAATTTGTTAGTCACAAAATTACATCAAGTTGTTGTCTTTAACTGTTAACTTGTAGTTTTAAACTGTTAATCAATTTGATGTCTTCAATTTGTAGTTTTAAACTGTTAATCAATTTGCTGTCTTCAAAATTACATGAAGTTGGTAATGTGTGAATTTTAAATTGTTAATCAATTTGTTAATCACCTTTTTATGCTAAGCAACAAAATTAAACTGATATTGAAGTTTACATTTATACCCTTTTGTTCAAACAAATCGAAAAGTAAACTTGTTGAACCTTATATATGTCAAGTTGGGCCGTTGGTATTTAATTGAACCGAATACCGAGTGGAATGCTACCAAATTTACATCAAGTTAGTACGGTTTTTATTATTTTATTTTATTTGATTAATCACATGAACCAAAGCTTTAATTTATATTGGGATATTGTCAAGGAATTAGAACATAAGCCCGTCTAAGGATCTTGGATTGGTTGCTTTATTTGATGCTTATATATGCATATAATAATANTTGGGATATTGTCAAGGAATTAGAACATAAGCCCGTCTAAGGATCTTGGATTGGTTGCTTTATTTGATGCTTATATATGCATATAATAATAAAGAACACGTACGCATTCTAGATTAAATTAACTTCGTTGGTTAGGTTTATTGTTTGTTATATTTTACATATTCGTTGGTTGTGTTCATTGTTAATTAGTTGGGTTGCCAATTGTTGGGCAAACATTAAACTTGATTATATATATATATATATATATATATATATATATTTGTAGTTGAGTTGCCAATTGTTGGGCAAACATTAGGTTTGATTATATATATATATATATATATATATATTTGTAGTTGGGTTGTCAATTGTTGGGCAAACGTTAGCCTTAATTCATTTGGAAATGTTCATTTAATAGCCTTTATGCCGGCAAATTTTTTTAAAAAATAGGCTTCTCTATTCGGTCAAACCTTTACACTTAGAGTTTCAAAGTCATTTGAAACTCCTCTAAACCTACGGTTTGACTTTCTAGTAGTCAACACTTGACATTTAGGCTTCTCAACTATTTCAAAGACCGCCAATTTCATGCGCACCTACGGTTTGACTTTCAAGTGGTCAAACCTTTACACTTAGAGCTTTAAAGTCATCTGAAACTCCTCTAAACCTACGGTTTAACTTTCTAGTAGTCAACACTTGACATGTAGGCTTCTCAACTATTTCAAAGACCGCCAATTTCGTGCGCACCTATGGTTTGACTTTCAAGTGGTCAAACCTTTACACTTAGAGTTTTAAAGTCATCCGAAACTC